TTTGCCTGAAAACCATGCACGATCCCACTTGGTGCATGGTCCGGTGGATTCGCCTTATTGCGGGCTTCAGTTTAGTATGTTTAAAAGTGAATTTCAATTTTCCCTTATTATAGGCGCATGCGCTTATACAGACACCTCAATTAGAAGCGCACCCCCCCAAAAAACACTGTTTTATTATAAGTGCACCTGCGCTTTTATCCAGGGTAATACGGTAATGGCATTGGTCTGTGTGTGGGTATTTGTAATGGTCTCCCTCTGTTGCAACACTGAAGAGTGTGAAGAACATTGCTCTGAGGTACAAAACAGCCTTCCACTGCTCCTCTTGTCGCCTCCGCTCACATGTTGGCTGATGTAGCTCCTGCTGAGTGGTGAGACTCATGCTATGCCTTGTCTTGCTGAAGTCAACTCAAGCCCAAACAGGTAGGAAGGAGGAGAGGCTGTGCAGTGCGTGTGGAGGCAGGGCGAGTGGAGAGGCCACTCCTGCCTGCATCCCCGCCCATGCCCTAAAGGAAGGCAGCTCCGCAGCTCCGATAGCTGCAGCAAGGGGAAAGGAGTGGGGAAAGAGGGGGAAAGAAGGGGGAAAGGAAGGGCAGAGGATGGGGGGTGAAGGGGGAGTGAAGGCAGACAGAGGGGAAACAGATAAAGGGAGGAAAAGGAGGGCAAGAGGAGGGAGAAAGATGGGGAAAAGGAAGGGGGAGTGAGGGAGAGAGTTGGGGGGGCATGAGTTAGATGTGCAAGTCCGATGGGTAAGGAATGGGCAGAGGAGAAGGGGATTGGAGGGACGAATAAGGATTCACGGGTGCGTGTGAGCGCAGGTGAGTTCTAGATGCACTTCCCTCCCACTACCCGCACCCGCCACGACTATGCCTCTCGCACACACATTGCTGCGACGGGACTCATGCCACCTCACTCACCACGAGCGCACTCACCACTATTGGAGGACAGAGAGGAATGGGAGGAGAGGAAGAGGTTGGGAGGGATGCTGAAAGGCGCTGGCATGTGAATGTGCGCATCCCGGCACCTCGTCAAACGCGCAGCTGCCGGTTCCGTGTCGGTCACGCGGCTGCAGGCGCGGGTGGCGGAAGGGCGTAGGGGGGAAACCAGGAGAGAAAGTAGTGGGGAACTGCGGAAGAAAAGGGTGAAACGAGGGGAAGGAGGGATGGTAATGAGGGGTTGGAGGGGGGAAATGGGGGGAAGGAGGAGGGGACATGAGGGAAAGAAGGGGGAGAGGGAAGGGAGGAGGTAGAAAGAGGGGAAGGGAGGTGCGACCTGGAGGGGAAGGGATGTGCGACCTGGGGGGGAAGGGAGGGGCGACCTGGGGGGGAAGGGAGGTGCGACCTTGGGGGGAAGGGAGGTGCGACCTGGGGGGGAAGGGAGGTGCGACCTGGGGGGAAGGGAGGTGCGACCTGGGGGGGGAAGGGAGGTGCGACCTGGGGGGGAAGGGAGGTGCGACCTGGGGGGGGAAGGGAGGTGCGACCTGGTGGGGAAGGGAGGTGCGACCTGGGGGGGAAGGGAGGTGCGACCTGGGGGGGAAGGGAGGTGCGACCTGGGGGGGAAGGGAGGTGCGACCTGGGGGGGAAGGGAGGTGCGACCTTGGGGGGAAGGGAGGTGCGACCTGGGGGGGAAGGGACATGCGACCTGGGAAAGAAGGAAGGTGCGACCTGGGGGGCAAGGGATGAGGGTGGCGAGGCGGGACGGAGGAAGGCGAGACGGCGAGGGGCGGCGAGGAGTCAGGGGGGAGATGATGAGGCGAGGCGACACGGTCAGGGCGCGAAGCGGCGCGGATATGCCAATTATCCGTGGATGCGACAAAAATCCTCAGTGAGGATGATGCAACGATGGCGGCGAGCGAGCCCCGCACTTGTGGCGAGTAGACTGTCGCGGCCGCGTTTGAGCGGATGCCTCGCTTCGCGACCTGGCGAGGACGCTGTGACGAGGGCGACGCAAGAAGCAGGCGATGATGCGGCGAGGCTCCGTCGTTTGTGGCTCCTAACCTGCGAATGTAGTTGCTAGTTCCCGTGGGAAGGTGTATATCGTGCAAAGGCCCGCGTGATGGCTCTGATCTGACGTAGATGCGCGCCTCTTGGCCGTTCGATTTTTACTACTGATTCTAGTAATTGCCCGTTGTAGTTGAAGTCGCGTTCCTATCCCAGTTGTGAGACGGGTCGGCTTTACGTTGCTAATACTGCTAGGTTGTTGGGATGTTGTGCTTGCCAGTGCATACGTTTCCTTTTCCGCCAGGAATTTCCGCGGTTTTGCGCATTGGTTCCCCCAAGGAAACCTGCTCACGATATTGTTTGCCATCGCCATCGATGTTTGAATTCTTCGCACTGGTGTTTGGGGGGGAAGGGGACTTCGCTCTCGAATCATCTTGCGCCAAAGGGTGTGCACTAAGATTGCCCCCAGAAATTCCATTTTAGAATTTAGACCGCAGCTTTAAAGCTGAGTTCCACAGCAAAAGGGCTGAAGAGCGGGATGTCAGGGAGGAAGACCCCTCACTTCCCTCCCAATTTTGAATCAGGCCTTTGCGAAACAGGAGGGAGTTTGCGAATGCACATTAGAGGCCTGTGCGAAACAGTTGACCGATGAGACGACCCAAATGCAGAGCAGAGCATCAACTTGAGGCAAACAGGGGGTGTTGTCCAATAACACACCTATCATAAATAAGGTCTGTCGTTTGATCACAGCTCCATTCCATCCCTCCCTACTGCGCAGTCTCAATGCACGATCTAAATTCAGACGGTTCCTAATCTCTCAGACTACGGTTTCCCGTGTGCTGGATATTGCAAGTTCACATTGGCAACATTCCTCCTTGAAGAGCAGGTTCTGTTTTTCATGCAGTCACAGTTCGAGTTTACTTTTCTGATCCTAATTTTGAAGTCATTTACTGCAGATTCCGCCAATGCAGTCCAACCTAGCTGTTCTCGTCACTTCTTGACTTTCTAAGAATTTGGATATACTTCTTATCGCGGAAATCATGCCTCCTAAGGCCCGAGCAAGGAAGGCGCTCGCGGATTCGGGCGTCAATGTGCCTGACGAACCGTCACCCACTAAGTCAACAACCAGTTTTGCGCAAGCGGACAGGTATTACAAAGGAAGTCGTCGTTGCTGAAAATGATGGAAGCCAGTGTGGAGTGGCTCCCAGCCACAGAACTCGTGCTCAGGCCGCCAGCAAGTTACCAACGAAGATACCGTCAAGGTTTGACGTTTCCTGAGCAGAGTATGCGCCAGGAAGCTGGCGGGTCGGGATCATTTCTGAATCGGTTGGATAATATGGAAAAGGAGTTAGAGGAAACTCGAGCGCGGGTAAAGATGCTGGAAGGGGAAAAGTCGAGAACACAGGAGCAACTGAAGCATCATGAAGATCAAATACGGCAGTTGAAGGCTGAGCTTGCATCTGTGAACCATGGAAATAACGTTTCTACGAGCCGATTGTCGGATATGAAATCCGACGAGAATAACCAGAATGGACAGAATGACCCCGAGCTTCAGGCATTTCAGCAGTTCGTGCATGTTGTGGTGGAGAAGGTGAAAACGTCTTTGAACGATGAGATTTTCCAAGGCCAAGAGAAGGCAGGCCAGACATTAAAACGGAGAAGAGAAGAAGTTTCACCGCACGGCCAGCAACAGGTAAGATCAGCCCGCTTAATTACTTGGTTTTTTCATTATGGAAAACTTTCGCTCACAGTTTTTTCTCTTTTTTTTGCAGGAAGTTGTTTCCCCAAGTGCTCCAAGCACCTCTGCCAGCCCTTTGGAGAGTTTTCGTGCAACCCCAATGATAATCTCACAAGCTCGAGCAACAGTTGACGAGCACGCCACTATTCATGATGAGCAATCCGGCCTCTCAACCATCTACTTCAAACCTGGGATTAATGACGATAATGTGAAGGAAGTGCTCATCGCCATCCCTTTGGCTCACTCTGAAAGGCTTTCTTCCTTCACCTCCATCAACATTACTGGCAGCCTCTCAGGTTCTCGTCTCCCGTCGTCCTCGGCTATTCCTTTTCCACTACAAGCTGTTTTCACCGGATCAACGCTATATTGCGCTGGCCGTCTCCCTGCTCTCTCCAGTCTATCCATTTCCGGGCAGATGATCACTTACGAGGGTGGCCAGTCTATTGGTAGACTCTCGAGCCTCACCTCGCTGGAGCTGAGCAGCTGCACAAACATCAACAGCAGCACACTCTCCAAAATGCTCCCTGGCCTCCACAAGCTGGAGCATTTTGTACTATCCTCCACCGACATCAAAGAGGCAGGAATGAGGGTCCTGAGTAAACATCTCTCTGGAAGTCTCAAAACCCTCGATGTTACTTCATGTGAAGGTTTGACAATGCTGCCTTCATGCACCTCAGCAGCTGTAAACGATTGGAGAAACTGGAAGCTGGGCACCTGACGAAGCTTTCGGACGCTGGGCTACTTCATCTCACTGAATTACCTCTGAAGCATGTCAAGCTGGAGTCATCGTCAAATGTTACAGGAGCTTGGCTCCTGAATGTGGCCAGCGGAGTGATACGTCAGCTAGAGCTGCTTGACCTCAGCAACACAAAGGTGACTGACAATGTACTGAAGCATCTGGCAGTTAATGCCGAAGGACTGAAGAGTCTTTGGATTCGGTCGTGTCTGAATGTCACTCAGCATGGGCTGAAGGCACTTAGCGATGTTGGAGAAAGGCTGGACGTTAAGTCTAAGGGGTGCAATGCAGCAGGGACGTTACTCAGGAGGTCGCTGGTCAATCGTTAATATGATTTGGCAGCTGCTGTGGTGTTGTAGAAGGGCCAACATTCCCTGCTGTGGAACTTTCTTGAACTCTCATCCTGTCCAGACTGGAAGTGGTGAGAACCTTTGCTTGTGATAGTTCAGTCTCTTAGATTTAGCTGGTTACAATGTATTAGGCAGCAATTGTTGTGAAGTGAACTCTCTGAAGGACAAATCAGGTTCCACAAAATACTATCTACCGGTATACCCTTCAACCATTCTCATTGCCTTATACAAATCAGCCTTCACAGCCGAGGGTACGATTCTAGTTTCTTCAAAGCTCCAGCAAACAGGGACTTCACTTGAGAGTACCTCTCCATATCAACCGGACTCAGCCCACTCATTGCCGATGCCATAGCCATCTGCATCCTCTTCCCCATCCCACTCCCTCCAGCCGACCATCTGCCAGCACCCATCCCAAACCCACTCTCCCCCCACTGCCTCCCCTCCATCCCTTCATCTTCCTCCTCCTCCGACTCCCCATATGAGTCACTCCCTTCCATCACATCCTCCATCCCCTCCCCAGCATCCAGCCCTCCAGCACCAGACCCCATTCCGCGGCTGCCTTGCAATCCCTGTAGCGAACCTCCTGCCATACCTGGCATGCCAAGGGACCCTCCCATACCAGCTCCAGCAGCCCCTGCAGCCGAGCCAGCAGCAGCACCCATGGCAGATGGGTCATGTGGGATCATGTGATGCTGGTGCGGGAGCATGGGGTGCTGACTGCTGCTTCCTCCTGCTGCTCCTCCCATGGCTGCTGAGTGCATGTGGGATGGGTCCGCCATAGGGTAGCATGGTACCGTACGGACCCATGCTGCTGTGCAGCCCTCCGGTTGGTGAGTCTTGCTGGAAGAGGGAGTGCCCCCCCGTGCTCCCCCATCTGGTCTTCAGCTTTATCCCAGGGAGGGGCTGAACCGTGTGGGCAGAGGAGAAGGGATCAGGGAAAAGAAGAGAAACAAGCGAGAAAGAGGGAAGGGCAGCAGCGGGAAGGGGTGGTTAGTGAGACAAAATATAGGGAAAAAGTCCACTGCATCATTGAAAAAACAAAAAAAAAAAAAAAAAAAAAAAAAAGAATCTGACACTGATTTTGTGGGGGGGGGTGGGGAGAAGATAGAGGTACGGTAGAGAGGGAGGAACATCTCAGCATACCTCGCTTGCGCGCAGTGGGCAGCTCGTGGCGGCGCTTGAAGCGGTAGAGCCAGCCGTCCGACACCTTGAACTCGTCCGGCAGGATGCTCAGCTCCACCGAGAGCTGCCTGGCCTTGTCCACTATCATGGCATCACTGATGTTGGCGTGCATTGAACTCACCTGAAGGAGGTGGGGCGAGGGGGGAGAAAGAGGGGTTCAAGGGAATGCAAGAGACACCATCAGCTCCACCGAGAGCTGCCTGGCCTTGTCCACTATCATGGCATCGCTGGTGTTGGCGTGCATTGAACTCACCTGGAGATGGAAGGAGGGGAGAGAGGGGGAAAGGGGGCTTCAAGTGAATACAAGATACATCATCAGCTCCACGGACAGCTGCCTGGCCTTGTCCACTATCATGGCATCGCTGGTGTTGGCGTGCATTGAACTCACCTGGAGATGGAAGGAGGGGAGAGAGGGGGAAAGGGGGGTTCAAGTGAATACAAGATACATCATCACTCCACGGACAGCTGCCTGGCCTTGTCCACTATCATGGCATCGCTGGTGTTGGCGTGCATTGAACTCACCTAGAGGCGGTGCGGTGGGTGGGGGGGGAGAGGGAGGAAAGAGACAAGGAAATACACTGTCAGCTCCACTAGCAGCTTGCCGTGCCTTGTCCACCACTATCATGGCATCGCTGATGTTGGTGTGGATGGAGCTCACCTGGAGGGAAACAGGAGAGGTTGCAGTGGGTGGAGGGGGAGAGGGCAGGATGGGGAGACGCTAGGATGGGGAAAGGCAAGACACTACTATCAGCTCCACCGACAGCTGCTTGGCCTTGTCCACTATCATGGCATCGCTGATATTGGCGTGCATTGAACTCACCTGTTGCAGAAAAGAACAAGGCGGGTGGAGTGGATAATCACGCATGAGGAGACAGGGCCAGAACGAGAGGCGTGTATTGAGAGTGAGATGCCACGTACCCTCACTACATATCTGTTGCACACAACAGCACCCACCTGTCGGTAACAAGTGGACCAAAGCAGCCTCCATCTGAGGAAACTTGGCCATGCAGCACCGCTTCTGGTCAAACCTCACTATGAGCCACTGAAAGATACAACCCCTTCTTCCCCCACCCTCCTCCCTCTTCCCCCCATCCCCCTCCCTCCCCTCCCCCATTAGAGACCCACCTGTCGGTACCAATGCGCCAGTGCAGCCTCCATCTGGGGGAACTTGGCCATGCGCACCGCTTCTGCTTGGCTGCTGCGCCCGACACTCTGAGCCACCTGGGTGCGTCCTTGAGAATCTTGGAGACCGTTGTGCGGCTGAGCCTCACGCCATACCGCCTGTACACCTGGGATATGTTTCAAGGTGACGATGGGGAACGGGGAGTTGGAAGCGGCAAGGGGGATGGTAGGACACAGGGGCAGCAAGGGACACTCTGAGCCACCTGGGCGCGTCCTTGAGAATCTTGGAGACCGTTGTGCGACTCAGCCTCACTCCATACCGCCTGTACACCTGCTTGGTGCAGATACAGGGGAACAAGGGGATTGGGAGGGGGTGTGACGGAGAAGAGAGATGGGAGACCACCTCATCTGGCAGATTGCCTACTAGTGAACACCACTTGGGTATCTCATTTTTACAGGGCAGCAGCATTGTTGTTCATGGAACTGATTTAGAATGGTTGCTTGCTCACCAAAACTCATCTCACCTGCTCCACCATCTCGTCTTGAGACACATCCCCCAGCTGCAGTTTCAGCTCGCATTTATCTGTACTCCCACTCTACACGAACGGATTTTGTTCCGAGTTACAACACACCCATGCTCACCTGCTCTACCATCTCGTCTTGAGACACGTCCCCCAGCTGCAGCTTCAGCTCGCATCTCTCTTCATTCACACTCCACACATAAGCATCTGTTGAGTCAATCCACTACCGTTGCTCACCTGCTCCACCATCTCATCTTGAGACACGTCCCCCAGTTGCAGCTGCAGCTTCAGCTAGCAAATCACCTGCCCTGTAACCGCCACATTCCAATCCCCATACCCCATGCAGTGCATCTGCCTTCCCCTCGTCCCACCCCACCCACCCTCCCCTCATCTCACCTACCCTCCCCTCCCCTCATCTCACCTGCTCCACCATCTCGTCTTGAGACACGTCCCCCCAACTGCACCTTCAGCTCACAAATCTCCTTCTTCACCTGCCCTGTCTCACCGCCACATTCCAATTCCATGCCACGCAGTGGCCTCCCCTTCTCACCTGCTCCCCA